TGCAACTTCATCTAGGATGTGATTTTCTAAGATGCAACTTCATCTTTTCTGAGATGCAACTTCATCCCTTCTTTTTCTTAAGATGCAACTTCATCTAGGATGTGATTTTCTAAAATGCAACTTCGTCTTTCTGAGATGCAACTTCATCCCTTCTTCTTCCTGAGATGCAACTTCATCTAGGATGTGATTTTCTAAGACGCAACTTCGTCTTTTTTGCGATGCAACTTCGTCTTTTTTGCGATGCAACTTCATCCCTACTTCTTCCTAAGATGCAACTTCATCTAGGATGTGATTTTTAAGACGCAACTTCGTCTTTCTGAGATTCAACTTCATCCCATCTTTTTCCTAAGATGCAACTTCATCTAGGGTGTGATTTTCTAAGACGTAACTTCGTCTTTTCATCCCTTATTTTTTCTGAGATGCAACTTCATCTAGGATGTGATTTTCTGAGACGCAACCTCATCTTTTTTTAGATGCAACTTCATCTTTCTGAGATGCAACTTCATCCTCTCTTCTTCTTGAGATGAAACTTGATCTAGGATGTGATTTTTTGAGACGTACCTTTGTCTTTTCTGAGATGCAACTTCATCCCTTCTTCTTCTTGAGATGCAACTTTATCTAGGATATGATTTTCTAAGATGCAACTTCGTCTTCTTTGAGACGCAACTTCATCCCTTCTTCTTCCTGAGATGCAACTTCACCTAGGATGTGATTTTCTGAGACGCAACTTCGTCTTTTCTAAGATGCAACTTCATCTCCTCTTCTTCTTGAGATGCAACTTCATCTAGGATGTGATTTTCTAAGATGCAACTTTGTCTTTTTTGAGATGCAACTTCATCCCTTCTTCTTCCTGAGATGCAACTTCATCTAGGATGTGATTTTCTGAGACATAACTTCATCTTTTTGAGATGCAACTTCATCCCCTCTTCTTCCTGAGATGCAACTTCATCTAGGATGTGATTTTCTAAGACATAACTTCGCCTTTTCTTTTTCTTTCTTCTTCTTCTTCTTTTTTCTTTCATTTTTTTTTAGATGCAAACTTCATCTCTTCTCTTCAATTAGCAATGATCATTCTGCTTGCTTGAGCATTTTTCTAAACATTAGACAGCTTCAAATTATCTTGTGACTATCACAAATCTTTAGTGTATCAAAGGTAGTATTGAATGAAACAATCATATTAAATGAAGCATCAAGTTTTGGACTATTTAATGTTCCCATGAAAGTATGGAAATGAAGAATGAAAAGGAATTTTCGAAATTTATTAAGGAGAAATGAAACAATGAATTGGGTATGAAGAAAGCTTTGAACATATAACAATTAAAAGGCAAGAAAAGCTTGCTCAACAACTCTTCTACAATAATGATATCATCCCTTTCTCAACACATTGAAAAGACGTCCCTTTTTACACTTAGGCCAATGACTCAGTCTTAGTTCCCTTTTCATGGATCACTGCTATGTTTTCCCTCTTGATTATCTCCTTTCAATAGATTTCCTTGCTGTCATTAGCCTAAGTCACCCTTTTAGGTTTTCAACTTAGACCTTGCCCCCACTTCTTCTTTTCTCTTTTCTTCTTTTGTGTGTGTGTGTGTGTGTGTTCATAGATGAGCAAGCTACAAATCCTCTAATAAGGACTTTACATTGGCTTGTATCGTGGTTTAGAGCTTGGCTAATTAGAAAGAAAAGATAAAATGGCTCAAAATTCCCTTTTCCCATTGAATCCCCTCACTAACACTCTTCTCACCCCAAGCTCTTGATGTAGGACAATTTAGAAAGAAAATCATCAGGCTTTTATAAGTTAGACAATTGCCTTTTCTTTTGGCTCAAAAAGGGTTTCTAAGGATAATTTCCATGATCAAAGGATAAAGAAGAATAGCCTTTCGTCATTGGATTCTTTACTTCCTCATCATGAACACTTTTTTCTAATTTTGCCTAGACTACCCCACTAGGTTTTCAGCCTAGCCTCTTTTTCTCTCTCTTTTTTTTTTTTTAACACAGTATTTCTTGACCACATCTTCATTCACTGGATGTGGGAGATCATCTCCATCAAGATAAACTAATAATAAAGCTGCTCTTGAAAAAGCTGCCTTCATGATGTAAAGAGTGTTGTAGTTTGGAGCACAATTTCCCCTTGGATCCCTCTCATTGGGCAAAATTTTCTTCAAAACATCTTTTTCTTCAAACCTTCATCTTTTTCTTCAAAACAACATCTCTTTCTTGAAACCTTCAAGGCCTGACTTTCCTATTTTATGTTGTAGCCATTTTGATTAGGCTGCAATTTAGGTTCTTCTTTTCTCAACATGTCAGTCAATTCAAGAAAAGGTTCTAATTCTTCATCATCTTCCATAGAATAAATCAGTTCATCAAAACTATGTGTAAGTTCAAGAATGATATCACTATTTGTGGATTTATTATTAGCAAACTTGGAGATGGAAATTTTGGCTAGCATGAGAAATTTGAATAAAGCAAAAGAAAATGAACAATCTTGCATATGAAGAGAGGGAATGAAAATGAAAGTAGCATCATTGATTGAAATGAACTAAATGGAGCATTATTTGTCATGCCTACAATGCTTCATAAAATATAAAAGGCTTGTTTTAACCATCTCTTCTCATGGTCACAAGTTCAACCACAAGAAGATTGACACATCTTATGGTTTAATGATAGGAACAAGAAGAATCTCTACTGTCTTGTTGTCTAAAGCTTCACCATGAGTAGGTAGAATAAGCTTGTCATCACCCTTTCCTTCATCAATGACACATATGCTCAACTTCTCAAAAGAAGTGCTCAAACCATCATTATTTGTTGACGTAGTCACCTCATGACCTTTATCGGAGTCTTTCTCGATCATATTAACTGTTGGACCATCATGTGTGGGTAAAGAGTTTTTAGTGATATTTGGACCAACAACCTCAGGCTCTGATGCAATTTGTAACTCCTTTGCTTCTATCAAATGTTGGACACGGTGCTTTAAAGCAAGACAATTTTCAAGGTCAGGTCCAACACCTCCACTATGGTATTCACATCTTGCTTGTGGGTTATACCATATTGGAAATGGTGGATTTAATGGCACCATAGTTACAAGGGTAATAAACCCAGCTGCTATCAACTGTCGAAACACTTCAGTTTATGACATTGGAAGTTTATCAAAATAGCATCTCTTTTTCTCTTGTTGTGGACGACTTGTTTCAAAGGCATAAACGGGCCTTGGTTGACTTGTAAAAGCCATTGATTGATAAGTTAGAGCTTGGAACCAATTGTTGAACTACCTACGTGACTGATTATTTCTTCCATATGCCTCATAAACTGAGCTTATATTGCCATTCTCATTCTCCTTCTTTTGATTCTGGCCCACTTTCTTTGAACTAGAAACCCCTGAACTATCATTTTGGTATTGTTCAAGGAGACTCTTCATTGCTTGATAATCAATGATAATTCCAGACTTGATTCCATCCTCCACTTGTTCTCCCACAACAACGAACTAGGCCAAAGTGTAATTTACACAAGTCATCAACTTTTCACGATAAGGCCCTTTAGTTGATTTAATGAATAAATTATTCAGTTCATGATCAGTTAGTGGCAGATGAACTCGAGCAGCTAATCCACACCATCTTTGAGCAAATTCCTTAAAGCTTTCACTCGATTTCTTCTCTGTCCTTTGAAGATCTTCTCTACTAGGAGCTAATGATGTGTTGTATTCATATTGCTTCATAAA